CAACATGTAGATGATAAAAACCTTGCTTTATGAAATGGTTAACTGATGAATATCAAAGACCACAGCCTTTGGTATGGACTTCACCTCAATGTAAAGTAAACAAAAATTCTCACCACTGGGACCAATAAATAACATCATGATAAATGGAGAAAAGGTTGAAGTTGTCAAACACTTCATTTTCTAGGAACAACTATCAACACTAATGGAAACAGCTGTCAAGAAATCAAATGATGCATTGCATTAGGCGAATCTGCTACACAAAACCTATTTAACATGTTCAAGAGCAAAGATGTTTGTTTGAGGACTAAGGTGTGCCTGGCCCAGTTATTTTCAATAATTCATAAGCGTGTGAAAGTTGGACAATGAATAAAGATCATAGTAGAATTGATGCATTTGAGTTATGGTGTTGGAGGAGAATATTTAAAAGTACCATGGACTTCCAGAAGAACAAACAAATCTGTGTTGGAAAAAGTATAGCCAGAATGCTCCTTAGAGGTAAGAATGGTGAGCACTTTCTTACCTCTCACATACTTTGGGTATGTTATTAGGAGGGATAAGTCTCTGGAGACGGACATCATACTTAATAAAGTAGAGGATCAGGCAAAAAGGAAGGACTTCAACAACATGGATTGGTACAGTGGCAGCAACAGTGGGCTCAAACATAGCAATAATTGTGAGGATGGTGTAGGACTGAGCAGTGCTTCATTTTGTTGTACATAGAGTTCCTGTTAGTTGGAAGAGACTTGATGTCGCCTAACAAGTTTATATACATTTAATTGTACTTCCCAATGAGTTTTAATTAATTAGCACAGCCACAATTAGAATATGAAACACTTTAATTCTCTTAAAAAAGTTTCTTTGTGCTCTTTAACAGTGGATCATTGATGTGTATTGTCAGTACAGATATAAAACTCATTGACTTCGACTCCATGGTGACTCACATAGGGCTGAGAGAACTGTCCCATAAGGGTTTCAAAGTTGTAGTCTTTATAGGAACAGAGTGCCTCATCTTTCTCTGTTGGAGAGGGCTGGTTAGCAGCAGAATGCCTAATTAAATCACCACCAAGGATCCTTCTTTTTACTAAAATTTCATATAAACATAATAAAGTGACTTAAAAAAAATTACAAAGACACATCATCAAATGAATAAATAAAATGTGCTATATCCATATCCATACGTTGAAATAATACTCAACTATTAAAAGAAAAGAAGCATTGTTTAAAGTTTTTTAAATGCAATCATTAACTGAAAACATTCGTTTCAGAGGTTCCTTCATGTTCATGTGGTCTTCCCTTTTGATTAGAAATCTTCTATAGAATCTTAAACCAAAGTTGCTCACTAAATCTTTGAACCAGAACCAAAAACAAAACAAAACAAAAAACTTGTTTTAATGAGTAGAGTCTGACCCAAGCATTTTAAGAAATTATGTGAGATCCATTGGCTGTGGCAAGTTGAAAGGTTGGATGTGAAGCTTAGGGGGTAGTGAGTTTAAGATAATGGTGATGGAAGAATTTGGAAAAGACAGCAAGAATGTTAGCACTACTTGAAGGGTGCAATCACTGTCACCGCATTGACCATGTAGAAATGAGTGCAACGGGGTAGTTTTGACTCTGTATACTTTCACACACACACACACACACACACACACACACACACACACACACACGGAATGAAATGCTGATTCATGCAACATTGGGAACGGAACCTTGAAACCATTTTCCCCTGTTTGGTTAGTTTGGGTGCTGGGAGAGAGACTTTGCTTATTTGACTGTGGTACTCATTGCCACCAAGCCTCTTCTGACTCATGGTGACCATGGAGGCCAGAGAAGAACTCCTCAATAGGATTTTCTTTTATGTAAGTTATATAGGGTTTCAGAGGAGTGGCTGGTGGGTTTATGAGGCTGTAAATCTTTACAGAAGCAGACAGCCCCATCTTTCTTTTGCAGAATAGTGGGTTTCAACCATCAGTCTTTAGGTTAGCTGCCCAATGCTTAACCCACTGTGCCACTAGGGTTCCTTTGGTTGTTAGAAGACTTCACTGATTCAACAGCAAGATATTTAGGGTAATAATTTAAGATAATAAGGGTAAACATTTTTCAAGTAGACTTTGTAATTGTAAAGGCTGTAATAAAAAAAATCGAAAGTACCATTATCGCATGAGCTATACCAAATACCCATTCTTTTTCTTTATTTTATTTTCTAACTTCATTAAAACTATGTCCTTTTTTATACTGTATTAGGGCAATTTCAGTATTCTTAAAAAAAAAAAAGGGAACATTTATATTTAAGTAATGTTCCTGCTTTTTTGTGGTTGTTAAATGCCATCGAGCCCAAGTTGGTTCTGACTCATAGCAACCCTGTATGGGGTTTCCAAGAAGCAGCTAGTGGGTTTGAACTGCTAACCTTGCAGTCATCAGTCCAGTATATATCCTACAGTGCCACACCAGGCATATAAATATTGTCTTGGTCTGACGCTGTAGGATAAGCAAAGGATTACAGCAATACCTCAGTATATATATTCTGGTGTGGTACTGCAGGGTAAGTAGTGGACTGCTAACTGCAAGACCAGAAGTTCAAACTTATCAATCACTCCTCAGAAACTCTATATACAGGGTCATTGAGTAGGCACTGACTTGATAGTATTTAACAACAACAACAACACACACACATATATATGGAGTCCTGGTGTGGTGCTGTGGGCTAATGCATTGAACTGCAAGGTCAGTTTGAATCGTGAAGTTGGTGGTTCAAGCTCACCAGCTACTCCTCAGAAACCCTATATAGGGTTTCTATGAGTTGGTACTGACTCCATGAAACTTAACAACAACAACAACTATATATGTGTGTGTGTGTGTGGTTGTGGTTATGAAGTACATATATATATACACACACACATATAGAGTCCTGGTGTGATGCTGTTGGATATGCATTGGACTGCTAACTACAAGGAAACCCTATACAGGCTTGCTATGAGTTGGTACCAACTCAATGACACTTAACAGCTATATATACATATACAATCTTGGTGTGATGTGATACAACAACAACTATATATACAGTCCTGGTGTGATGCTGTTGGATATGCACTGGATTTCTAACTACAAGGTTGGTGGTTCAAACCTACCAGTTGCTCCTCAGAAACCCTATACAGGCTCGCTATGAGTCGGTACCGACTTGATGACACTTAACAACAATAATGTGTATATATGTTATTGTTAATTGCTGTAGAGTCAGTTCTGATGTGTATAGAGTCCTGGTGTGGCACTATAGGATATGAATTGGACTGATAACTACAAGGTTGGTGGTTCAAATTACCAGCTGCTCTTCAGAAACCCTATACAGGCTTGTTATGAGTCAGAACTAATGGGAGCACTTAACAACATATATATATATACACAACATTACTTAAATATAAATCATATATGTATGTATGATTTATATTTAAATATATATATGTTGTTGTTAAGTGTGTAGAGTCGGTTCTGACTCATATGGAGTCCTGGTGTGGTGCTGTAGGATAAACACAAGATTGCTAAACATAGGTTAGTGGTTCAAGCCTACCAGCCAGTCCTTGGCAATTCTATACAGGGTTGCTATGAGTTGGAGTTGACTCCAAGGAACTTAACAACCACCACAACAACAATTTTTTGTTGTTGTTAGGGGCCATCAAGTCAGTACCAACCCATAGCGCCTTATGCACAGCAGAATGAAACACTACCTGAAATACAATACACACACACATATATATGAAATTAAAATTTGATCTTCATTTGACTCTCAACATTTCTTTGCTCTAGGGAGATGTTCCTGTACCATCCCACTATAGGTGAAGTAAACAGCCTCTACCTTGGGAAGTCCGGTAGATCAGCCTTTGTATGTTTGTTTGTGAGGGACTCTGGATCTAGTGTGAGAAGGTGTGCTTGTATGAGGGGTGGAGTGGAGACAGAAGTACATCCTTTGAGAATATTGCTAAGTCCTCAGATGCAGACACTGTGAGCCCTGCTCACTCATTCAAAAGGATTAACTGAAACAACAAAGAGCAGAAAGTGCAAATCTCTGGGTATGTATCTGAATCTAAATTGTAGGTGTCAGGAAGAAAGAAGTGAGGAGGAATACATAATTGGATTATTAGTAGTAGGAGCAATAGTTCACTGAAATCAATAGATATTGGCCAAACAGAATAAATCAGAAACTGGAAAGCCAGATTTAGGGGCCAGATACTTAGAGTGGGGAAGTCAGAGTCAGCTCGGAGCACCAAAACTCACTGCCATCGAGTTGATTCTAAATCACAGTGACCCCATGGGACAGACTAGAACTGCTCTTAAGGGTATTCAAGACTACATTTTTACAGGAGCAGCCAGTCTCTTCTTGCGCCCATGGAGCGGCTGATGGATTTGAACCACTGATTTGCTGAACGATTAACTCTCTCTACCACTAGGGCTCCTCAGCTTGTATCAGTCACTACCAAACTGAGACCACACTCCAGCCCTGGATATTCAAAGCAACCGTTTCCCTGTGGCATTGCACCGTCTCCTACCATCAACCCAGGAATGCTCAGTGGGTGCAAACCCTCACCCATCTCGTGTCAGCATCAGATGCTTTCTGAACAAAACCCTTCTTTACCAATTCATCTCCCGCTTCATGAACAAGAGTGAAAGGAATGACGAACTTGAGTCAGAGCAGAATTGGAAGTGAATTTAATGGGGGCAAAACAGGGCTGATTCAATTTTTTTCACTTTACATCCTCCTTCAGATAAATCCAGAGCAGATGAAAACTAGCTCAGGTACAAAGACCTATTCTAATTTGGAGACACAGAGATCCAGACTGAGTATCAGGGCAATCTTTTTAGAGGATTCAAATAAAGTAGGGAGGGGGATTCAGGATGACAATTTGTTAATTGCAGTCAATAGGCAACTGGGATGCATAAACGCAGTAGTGAAATGGTTCAGCCTCCATCTCATAGTTGTCTTTTCCAGGCCATATGCAGTTGTGCACCCTTTACTTCTGCTTGGTCTTTTGCTGGGCTGGTGCTGGAGTGACCGTTGAGGGACATGGCTCAGGTACTTTGGGGTGGCATGGTTCAGGCACCTTGGGGTGGCAGGGCTCAGGCACCTTGGGGTGGCAGGGTTCAGGCACCTTGGGGTGGCAGGGTTCCTTGGTTTGGGGAACACATGGTTCTTGAGGTGGAGGCTGGCAAGGCTGTTTCACTTGCTGCTGCTGAAGCTGGGGAGGTGGGATGCAGGGCTGCTTTTGCTGTTGGGAACTCATGAGTCAAAGGTGGTTGGACCTTGAGATTAAAAAACAGAAGAAGAAAATTTAAACAGGATTTAACTAAGGAAGAAACCATGTCCAGTGCCATCTCAGATACCTTAAGAAACAAATATTTTTCTGTCTTTCTCTGCCTTAAAGGATACTTTGATAATCTGAGTCTTTGAAGAGAAGAAACTCAAAGGTGGTTTGTTCTGCTCCATTTGGGCAGCACCTTTCTCTGTGCTTTTCCTTGCTGATATACCTTCAAGTCCAATTAGCATTAGAGCACAATAGCGGGATCATATGGAAATGTGATACTATTTTAAAAATAAAACATTTGTCTACCCATTCATTCCTGTCCAATTGAGTGGCTTATTACCTATCGGATAATTCCACTGAGCTCAAAGGAACTCAACACGATCTACTTCTGACTTCCTTCACACAACATTCTCTTCCTTGAATGGTTTCCCTCTCATGTTTACTTGTTCTAGTACTACCCCCACATCGGCCATCTAGTCAGTTCTGACTCATAGCGACTGTGTATAGGCTTCCTGAGGAGTGGCTGGTGAGTTTGAATAGCCAACCTTGTGGTTCAAACTGACCTTACAGTTCAATACTTATCCTACAGCACCACACCAGGACTCCATACCCACACATCCTAGCTCATCTCATATGATGCGTTTGAGAGGTTCTTCTAGAGCAAGTCTTCCAGAAGTCACCTCTCTCTTCCCAAACTGCCACAGCACCTTATTTGCCCTTATTGCCTTACACGGATCAATTTCTACATAGTATTTTAGTTATTCATGTCAATGTCTTATTTTCTAGAATAAATTGTAGCTTCATGGAGAACATTTCTTGTCTAAATTGAATTTTGTGCCATATATAGTAAATGTTCACAAAGCAATTTGGTGAAATAATAAAGTGCCCTAAATAAAAATTATGAATAAGGAAAGAATTATAACATCACTAAAAGTACTGTTTTATTTTGGGGACTCCTGGTGTGGGGCTATAGGATCAGCACTGAACTGTGACCCATAAGGTTGTTAGTTCAAACCCAACAACTAATCCTTAGAAGTACTATACAGGGTCACTTTAAGTCGAGAACCGACTCGACAGCATTTAACAACAACTACAACAACAACAAAACTACTGTAGAGTCCTGGTGTGGTGCTGTAGGATAAACACTAAACAGTATTTAACAACACAACAGCAAAAGCACTGTGGACCTACTAACTTACTATGGGTCTTTGCAAAAGCCAATCTTCTTGCTAGTGAGACTTGATTGGGAAGACACACTAAACTCTAGAATCTCTTCAAGCTCAAACTGACTATTTGGAAAACAAAGATTTCCCTAGATACTATAACTCCAACCAACACTCAGCATGGCTATACTGACACTAGAATAATGGGGAAGGGGGAATGACTTTAAGAATGTCAAGGAGGTGCCAATAAAAATAAAGTACCTTGAGTGAAGGTCTAAGTTCCAAGTCAAGAAACTCACCTGGTTTGCAGAAAAGAACAGGTTATCTTGTCTCTGGAGTCCGGTGTGGTATCCTCAGACAACTGTCCTTTTATACAATGAATGGGCCCTCCCTCAAGGAAATAGGATCTTTCTAGGCTGATCTGTTTTCATTCCTTATTTGTCAGCTGTGATTCACCTATTTCCTTCACTTATCTGTTGGCTCAGCTTTTGTGATGAAACCACCCACTTGTCATATTTTGTCACTTGCTTTCAGGTAATGATATCACCCCACTGCCCACCCTTTGCACCCAGGGATAATGTTTATGGTGATGGAGGTGTGGGATGAAAGCAGAGAGGAAGATGAACCTCTGGTGCTACTGGCATTAGAAGCCTTCCTACCTTCTGGAAGGCTCTAGTCCTTAACACTGATGAGCCTCATTGAGCTGCTTAATATTTAAAGTGGAAGTAGAAATAAGCAATAGGTGTTTCTGGTTTTTTTTGGCATGAATTATTCAGGTAAATAAAAATAAACATTCTGATTATCCATCATTCTGAGTATCTAGACTTGCAAGAGAAATACTCATTGACACTGAGTTAATTCTGAACCACAGCTAACCTATGGTGGTGGTGGTTATGTGCCGTGGAGTTGGTTCTGACTCATAGCAACACTGAACAGGGTTTCCAAGGCTGTATATCTTTACAGGAGCAGAAAGCCTCATCTTTCTCCCACGGAACAGCTGGTAGTTTTGAACTGCTGACCTTGTGGTTCACAGCCCGATTCCTAACCACTGCGCTACCAGAGCTCCTTAGGACAGGGTCAGACTTTCCTATAGGATTTCCACCATTGTAATCTGTTAACGAATTGGGCTGCATGGGACGCATGGGCCTTCTAGTGCATTCCCGTGATCTGTCTAATATGACTGCAAGCCATGAAATCCTGTCTCACATGAAGACTCCTTCTTGAGCGGTTGGTGGAATGGGGCGCACAGGGACAAGAGAGCTAAGATTCCCTGAGTCCTTAAACTGCTCCAGATAATATGGAACTGAGGTCATTAATCCCCTAATCCACTAATACCTGTCTTCAGTATACAAGCTGTTACAAGGTGTGATCTGTGGAAAATCCCAGCCACCCCTCAAAACCAGGTGGTTGGATACACTCTTCCTCCTTATTTCCCTCACTAAATGTTTGTGGAGCATCTGCTGGCCTCACGGCTGTGTCATTTCCTATGAACTTGAGCTCAGGACCGACCAGCTGCAACCAGAAGTTCCTCCCACTGGGTCCTCCTATCTATTCTTGTACCCTGTGTCCTCACATAGTGCCTAGTGTGTAGGAGTTGTTTATTGAATTGACAATTAAAAAATGAGTGAGTGAATGCATGAGGGAATGAATGAAGTGATATGTAAAGAGAAGTACAGAAGCTTTTTTGAGCACTACTAAAAAGCTCCTTGGAGTCCTTGTGTGGTGTTGCAGGATAAAGCACTGGACTGCTAACCACAGGATTGGCAGTTCATACCCATCAGAAACCCCATACAAGGTCGTTATGAGGCAGAATAGACTAGACTGCACTTAACAATAACCACAGTACCATCTAAAGAATAGAGCTATTTCCCTTCGGGCTGGCGCCACTGCCACCACCATGCTCAAGTATAAGACGTGCCTCTTGCCTTAAGTCCACCAGCCGCTCCTTGGAAACACAATACAGTGTTGATATGAGTCAGAATCGATTTGACAGCACTTAACAAAAACAACAGCATGCATTAATTTAGCTCTCCTGCAGGCTTGAGAGTCCTAATAGCATAGTGGGTTAAACATTGGGCTGCTAACAACAACGTTGGCAGCAGTCACTCCAAGACAGAAAGATGAGGTTATCTGCCCTATAAAGATTTACAATCTTATCTGCTCTGTCCTACAATCTGCTCTGTCCTAATCTGCTCTGTCCTACAATCTGCTCTGTCCTAAATGGTTGTTAGGAGTCAGAATTTATTAATAGTAGTATGGTTGGTTTAAGGAGCTCTGGTAGCGTAGTGGTTACGAATCGGGCTGCGAACCTTAAGGTCAGTGGTTCGAAACTACCAGGTGCTCCGCGGGAGAAAGATGAGGCTTTCTACTCCCGTAAGGATTTACACCCTCGGAAACCCTGTACAGGGTCGCTATGGGTCGGCTCCGACTCGAAGGCACTTAACAACAACAACAACAACAACAACACTCACAGAAGCAGAAGTCAAGAAATCAAACGATGTATTGCATTAGGCAAATCTGCTGCACAAGACCTTTTTAAAGTGTTGAAGAGCAAAGATGTCAGCTTGAGGACTAAGGTGCGCTTGACCCAAGCCATTGTATTTTCAATAACCTCATATGCATGTGAAAGTTGGACAGTGAATAAGGAAGACCATATAAGAATTGATGCTTTTGAGTTATGTTGGTGGAGGAGAATATTGAAAGTGTCATGGGCTGCCAAAAGAACCAATAATTCCATTTTGGTGAAGTTATAAACAATTCAACACCTCAGCAGATATTTAATAATCTCCTACTTTTTGACAGGCAGACAGCTAGATCTTAAGGACAATCCTTAACAAGGCAGAGAAGGTTCCTACCATCCTAGAGCGAACAGTCTGGAAAAGGCAATCCTAAATCCAAAAATCTTGGTTGTGATAAGGAGATGGTGTGGGTACTTTGGCATAAGCTGGGACAAATCGGACAGCTGTGCCTGAAAATTAGGGTCAAAAGAGACCTGATCATCCCCATAGCCTAGGCAGGCCACTTAATTCTCTGAAACGGTATACATTGGCAATAGCAAGTTGGTGTTGAATATAGAGAAATAAAAGAAAATGGGGAAAGAGGGGAAAGAAATTAGTAAATTCAGTTGTTGTTGTTAAGTTGGTTCCGACACATAGTGACCCTGTATAGGGTTACCAAGGAGTGGCTGGTGAGCTTGAACCACCCACCTTGTGCTTCAAACAGACTTTGTTGTCCAGCACATTATTTAGGAAACTGAACAAGACTTTTCTGAGTCAGAAATAAGGAAGAAACAAACAAGCAGTTTAGAGTCCAGAAAACTCCCTCAGAAATGATTTTTTTTCCTGGAAATTATGGAGGCCAAGACATGGTAGGGTATGGAAAACACAGAGTGGAAGAAACATGGAAGGACCTTGAAAAGAATGTGCATTTTTTGCCCACACTGCAGATCTGCAGTTTTCCAACCTGTGTGTAGGTTGATGTGATAGTTAAGGTTTTGTGTCAACTTGACTGGACCAGGATTTGCAGTGGTTTGGCCGTTGAGATGTGGTTATCCCCATGGTGAAACCAGATACACGCATAGTTTACTCTGTGATGATTGGCTATGCACAGCCAACTAATTGAAAGGATGTTTCCTTAAGGATGTGACCAGCTCCCAATATAATGAACACACAGGGAAAGCATGTTCTTTTTCCCACAGGGAACTTGGGACTTTACAATTGTGAGCCATTTCCTTGATAAACGTTTCTCATTATATACATATATGTATGTATAAGTTTTACTGTTTTTGCTTCTCTAGAGAACCCAGCCCAATATAGTTGTACCTCAGTTTCCTCATGCAGAATCCATATCTTACTTTCTAAATTGTGAGCTGAGTGGGAGACATCTGACAAATCAGAGAAGAAGACCTGAAGTAAAAGAAGCTGAAACAAGAAGAGAACAATTTCTCAGTTAATCCTTGATTCGCTGCAACAAAGTCAATGGGCAAGATTTGAAGGCTTTGGCTTATGAGTGTCAGTAGGATAGATGAGTATTCCAGGGTCCCTAACAGAAGTTCTAGAATCAGGATGGGGATGTGTGGAGGTGAAGAGACATGATTGCTTTTCCCAACAAGGTAGCATATTGGGTCCACCACACTTGGGTTGCCTAACTGGGATTTGCTGAGCGACTATGAAATGTTTTGGAAAGACAAGACATAAATTTATGTTTATGAAATTATAATAAAGATTATAAAATGGAGTTCTGTTATGGTGCTGTATGGTAAGCACTGGATTGAAATATCAGTTTGAACCACAAGATCAGCAGTTCAAACTTACCAGCCACTCCTTGAAAACCCTACATAGGGTTACTATGAGCCCAAACTGACTGGATAGCACGGGACCCAACAACAAATAACATTTCATAGTATATAATGTGGAAAGGCAGATTAAGTCAAGGAAAAAAATAAACTCTAACACAGGAGTACCCAGAAATAATCACAGTTTATATATGCTATACCTAATGTCAAGATTCTAAGTATTCCAAGATTGCAATTCCCTTTTTAAAAATCAGGTGCATTCATGTTAACAAAGATTCATCTTATTGTTCATATTGTTAGGACTTCGCTTTTTAAATTAATTGACAACTTTTCAATATGAGTAAACATTCTTTTACAGCTTTCTTTGAATGATTGTACCATAATTTTAGCATATAGACATTCATTAATTATTGAGCCAATTCACTTATGGTACACATTTTAGTTATTAGCACATTTTGCTAGGGCAGAAGGCTCACTTGCAGAGTAGGGTTCTTCCAGGCACTTAATTGGGGGAGCTAGGTTTGCTACCCAGACAACTAGAACTTAGTACCTTCAAATCGAAGCTTATGGCAGAGTGGAGTGCCCTTTAGGCATTTATTAGCAGTGCTAAAAGAGCTTTGTAATGTTGCCAGAGCAGGGCAGAGGCAGGGGGCCTGGTGACTGAGAGGCTGGGGACCACGGGAGGTAGAGGGGGCCTGCCTGTGGCCCTGGCTGAGAAGAGGCTGTCCTGACCAAAGAGCTATATCCTCAGACTCTCTGATCCTGAATTGTAACCTGTTACTTCCCTAATAAACCCCATAATTGTGAGCATTGTCTGTGAGTTCTGTGTGGCCATTGCAATGAGTTACTAAACTCAGCAGAGAGAGAAAGAGAAAAAGAGTGTCTGGGAGAGATAGTTGATGTTAGAACTGGTAAAGAAGGTTGACAGGTGGACTCATGTCTGACTTCTACATCATAGTAATTGGCCTTAGGCTGATACTGAGTTTGAGTCTCTGTGCACCTTGTAAAGTCTGAGGGGGTCAGAAGTGGCCCCCATTTCATTATTACACTATTTCTCCACTCTAGATCAGCCTGTATGATTGTGATTTGTTCTGGATTTTTCTATACTCTTTCATCATTGAACTTAGCAGTAATGTGAACTCAGCTCATATCTTACAGACCCATGTAATGCCAATCTCTCATATCAGGAATAGTCATCAATGACTCATCACAATTTCCTACTATTTCCAAATGGCTCTGGAGTATTTGCCAAGCTTATCTGGAGTGCATGTGCATCATGCAAGTGCTGCCTGTCATCTGCCTCACACCCTGTCAAGAAATGGCATTTGCTTCCTGATGAATACTGTAGTCCCTCTGGAAACTTATGTTGACTTTTCTGTTTCAAGATTCAGCTCACTAATATTCGAGATTTGCTCAACACAGTCCTACAAATTTCCTGGTCTCCTAAACTCCAAAGGGGATACAGGACAAAGAGCCATGGCTGTGAATCTGGATAACTTGGTTCTGGGTGTGACTCAGAGACAGAATCCCTAGGTGTCCTTCAGTAATTGTCCTCTCCTTTCTGGATTTCAGTTTCTTTATGTGCAAAATGAAAGGGCTATACTAAGTGCCATTTAGGTCACTTTACAGCCTAATATTTTAAAGTTCAATAATAGGGTTTTGTCCAGTATTCATCTCACTTAGGTCATGTTTCCTTCTAATACCTACTTAAAACTCATCTTTTTTGTCCATATGTTTCTATGGGTTGTTCTGGAACAGACACTATACAGAGTCTGTGTGTGTGTTTGTGTGAGATGGACATGGATACCATATCTCTTAGAGAAGATTGAACATATTCCCGGAGAGTCATAGTGAATTATTCTCTCCACTTTCCTGATACAGTCTTAGCAGCTACATACAGTGAATATCCAGTGAAAGTTAATACTGCTTGTTCTAATGAAGGTTGAGTTTGTGTGTGAGAAAGAGATTGTGGGCAGAATACTAAGGGCCAGAGGCAGCTTGGAGCCAAAACCAATAGAATTGAGACATTACTCAGTCTAAGGTAAGAGGAGAACCCTGCTGTAGCTGTAAGTACTAAAGTACCAGACAGTTGGTATCATTCCACAATTTCCTTTGATAACACAGAAATGGCCTCTAAGAATACCCCATGTACCCCTTCCAATGATTTCTATATTCCAATGAGTAATAGGTATAGAGGTCCTTTGGTCCTTTCTTTTTCCTCACTATTTATAGCACTTGACTCATGGAGGAAGGGAAGGAAGGAGGCAGAATCAGTCAATGACACATACAACTTAAGTGCAATGAAAAGCGTTTTAATTGGGGCAGAGCAGGAAACATGGATTTCTTTCTGTCCAGAATTCCTCTTTACATTAACCCTGAGCAGTTGAAGACCAGCAAAGCCATTAAGATCCTCTGCTTAACTCAGAGGCTTAGGGACCACTCCAGAGTATACACATGACAAAGCTTCAGTGCCTATATTTAAAATGGAAATAAGAGAGAGACAATGACACAAGGTGACAACATAATGATTATAAGGTCTACAGGCAATTATGACACAGATGCAGGTTGGAAGAAGATGTTCAACATCTGGTGGTCAGCTCCTCAGGGCAAGTCTGAAGGTCACGTCACTTCTGATTGGTCTTCTGCTGGCCTAGACCTGGAATGATTGGTGAGGGGTATGTTGTTGGATGCTTGGAATGGCCTGCATCTGGGACCTTGGAGTGATCGTGGTCAGGGCATGTGGGATGACCTGGCTCAGGATATCCCGGGTAACTTGGCTCTGGAAACTTAGTGTTGCCAGGTTGTGGAACATGGGGGTGGCATGGTTCTTTGGTTCCGGGAACAAATGTTTCCTGTGGAGGCAGGCAGGGCTGTTTCACCTGCTGCTCATGATGCTGAGGTGGGGGAGTGAAGGGCTGCTTCTGTTGATAGGAACTCATGATTCAAAGGTGGCTGAACCTAGAGAAAGGAAAACTGAATTAGTGATTTGTCTAAACAGGGGAGAGACTAAGTTTAAGATTAAATATGTCTTATTTCACACTCCCTCAGAAATGAGAGTCTTTCTATTCGTCTCTCCTGTTTCCTTGAACTTTAGCTCAAAGGATGCTTTGATGATTCCTGTACTCTTTCAAGAATAGACGTCTTAAGATGATTGGTTCTACTCCATGTCCCTCAAACCCTTCATCTGTTTGTATTTTTACTGGCACACCAAAATAGCCATGTTAGAAACACAACACAGCAACACATTCCTGGGATAGATATTTTTAGATAATTAAAATTTTGGATAATTAAGATTTGTGATATAACAAAGCATTGAAGTCTGCTCCTTCATGTCTACCCCATAAAGTGCCTGAACTCTCACTGGTCAATGCAATATAAAACTCTTCTAAGCGCACGTGTTCCCACCTGACCCTTGCTCACAGTCCCCGCTGTGCGTGCTTTCAGGGAGGCGTTCCACTCAGTGCTGCTGGTCTGTAATTACTCATCATGATGCTCTTCCCTCTGCCAGATGTCAAGTCACCTTCCTCAAATTGTCACAGCACATTACCTGCCCTGCCTTTTTTTTCTAGTAATCACTTTCCATTTTATATGTTTGAATTTCCAAATTGCTTAGTGTAATGCTTTTGATATTATACAATTTCTGTAAAAAAATTAGAAGAAGAATAAAAATGTCACTTAAAGGGCCCCGTATGTAGACACTAATCCAAATTTTTCTGCTAACTCATGAGAGATCCTTCCAGAAATCATTTCCTTTTACTGACTACAAGTTGCACAGCTATCATGCCAGATTTGAAAATCTATAAAGTCCACTACACCTGGGACATACCAGTTAATTGGCCTAGTTCTACCTTCTAGTTCAGTGTGGAGTGCCTATGGTCTTAAATGTTTACAAGTGGCCATCCAAGGCACAATAATGAGTCTCTATTCACCTGGAACAACAAAAGAAAGAGTAAGAATCGAAGAGGATATATAATGTATGGCTAATTGCCTTCATGAACAACTGCTTCTATCATGAGACCAGAAAAACTGAATGGTGTCTGGCTACTGAACATTTTTATCAAAGAGTCTATAGAAAAATTCTGATCAAAAGGGGAGAACCACAGGCCAGAATTCCAAATTTTTATGGACTCTATGCTTCTCTATACTTCTTGGGTGGAGTCCTGGTGTGGCGCTGTGGGTTAATGCGCCAGACTGCAAAGCCGTTTGAACTGCAAGGTCGGCAGTTCAAGCTCACCAGCCACTCCTAGGAAACCCTGTACAGGGTCACTATGGGTTGGAACTGACTCAATGGCACTTATCAACAATAACAACAACATACTTCTTGGAGCCATGGAGGTTGGATAAACCCCTGAAACTATTGCCCTGAGACAATCTTCAAGACTTAAACAAAACATATCCTCCAAAGTCTACTTAAAACCAAGTAATAGTTAAGCTTACCTAGTAGAAGCTGTCTGCCTAAGCATTGTACTCTTTTAAGAATCAAAGAATAAAGAATCAAAGTGACAACAGCTACTCCAAAGACAGACATCTTAGGGGGACAGGAAAGTTACATTAATGGAGGAGGAACAACTCAGAAAAAGAGGGTGACAATGGTTGTACAACTGCAAGAATTTCATCAGTGTAACCAAATGGTGTATGTAGAAACTGTTGAATTACTGTATGTTTTACTTTGTATGAGGGGACTTCAAAAAGTTCATGGAAAAATTCCGTTCCTTTCATCTCATTTGTATCTGAACTTTTTGAAATCTCCTTATATATTTTCAACAACAAAATAAATAAAACATGCTTTTAAAAGTCTATTATGAACAAATTGCAATGTCATTTGAATAACGATAATAAATCTTTGCAATGCTAAAGAGATCCCAATCTCTATAAAATGTCCCATTCAATATAAAATATTAATAAACTCCCAGAGGAGAGACTCACCTTGTACACTGAGAAGAGTGATCTGTCTTGTCTCTCTGATCTGCTGAGACTGTCTGTGAAGCTGGCTTTTTATGCAGCAAGTGAGTCCTGCCTTAAGGAAGTGGGATTTAGGGGGCCACTCTATCTTCATCCTAGCTTTTGTGATGAAAATCTGGGGCTTAACATTGTTTGGCACTTACTGTCTTACAATGATGTCACTTGGGCCTGCCCGCATTGTCCATCCTGTGTGTCGGGGTCTTTATGTACAAAAGGTTTCATGGGAGGAGCAGGTTAAATTAGGTTCTGGGACTGCTAGAACCAGACACCACCTTGAGCAGGACCCTAATCTTTACCCCACGTTTGCCCTGTGGTGCTGCTAAGTATTTGAAGCAGCTATAGAGGTAAATATGGGCATATGTGGTTCTTTTGAAAGGCCATGAAGATGGTGAATCATCTGATTATTCATCTTTTCGTAGATCCAATCTTGGGAGGGGAAAGAAAGGTTAGAATGCTTGCTTTTGAACTTAGCTGCCTTCATGCCAGAGGAAACTTTTAGCAGCGACATTAGTCAGGGTGGTAGAAGTTGCTGTCATAGACAGGATTGACTGGACCTGTTTAACGTGATGGCACGGTCCTAAGGTCCCTGCCTCTCATGGTGTCTCTTGTCTGGGCATGACACAGAAACACGAGAGGTGGGATAGCTTGAGTTTCACAGCAGTCCTCTCCTTTGCTCACAATAACATGATACTGTGGTCACTAACCCAGGAGATCTTCAATAGGCAATATGTTATTAGGTGTGGCTCATGGGAAATCTAAGCCTAAACCTGGGTGTGTAGATCGGCTCCTCCTCAAAGAGATTGGGACCTCTTTGAGATTCTAAAGGATATATATATAATTTAAAATGAAATCGCACTTTGAGTATAGTAGACTTTTTTAAACATATAATTTTATTTATTTTGTTGTTCAGAACACACAGAGCAAAACAAATACCATTCAACAATCTATACATACACCATTTAGTTACACCTCTGAGGTCCTGTCACCTTCATGAACCGGAGCCCCAAGCACCATCACCTTCTTCACAAGATCCTCAAAATTTGTTTTGTTGTTGCTGTTAAGTGCTGTTGAGTCAGTTCCTACTCATAGCAGCCTTGTATAGGGTTCCCAAGGAGCAGCTGGTGGGTCTGAACTGTCAGTATCGTGGTTAACTGTCCAGTGTGTACCCTACAGTGCAACACCAGGACTCCAAAGTCAGTAGTCACACTTTATGCCTACAAACTGGTTATAATAGGTGCTCAGTCAATGACCAATTGTTATATTTTTTATCTCAGTAGGTTCGCGAAAAAGAAAGGCATAATCAAGGCAAGATAGAAGAAATAAATGAGAGAATGAAGGATGAAACAATGAAGGACAAAAGGGAAAACAAACAAACAAACAAACATTACCTTAGAAAGAGGCCCAGAGACTCCTTTGAGAACCTTAAGGAAATGGTAACTTGGAAATTACTCACTATCCTGTGACAGGCGTTATGGCATGAACTAAGAGTAATGGTTATGGTTCATTAAGGAAAAGATGCTTTTGTGTCCTACCCTATCTATTTCCTTCTGTCTCTGCTACCATTTGACCTGCCACTTCCCTCTGGGTTGGTGCCACTGCCACTGCCAAGCATAACTTCTGGGACTATGGAATGACGTTAGCTCTCTTGTAGGCTTAGGTCCAGGTTTCTCTCCTTAGTAAAAGCCTAGATAAAACCAGGCTGCTTCATTTGTGATTCTTAGCTCCAGTGGAACCTGCTTCTTGTTCCTCTATCCTCCATTATGACCAAGTTATCTCTGAGGCCCTAGATAACCTAAACCTCAACTCTGAACTTGGGTCATTCTCATATTATCCCTTGATTATGGTCTTAGGGTATAGAACAAATTCCTTTCTTAATGACTATGTTCCTGCCCTGAGTTTCTTGCCTTGACCTAATGGGGCCTCTTCCTCCCTAAGAAAGACCTCTCTGTCTTCAATCACTAAAATTTCTATTTCTACTTCTACCTCCAACTTGTTATTCCTGATGTTCTTTATTAAACACAGTATTAAGGTTCTTTCTGCTCTTCTGAGAAGATTAGTTTATTCAGCAACAGTGCTGGGTGGTTCCAGTAGAAGAGTGAGCAAATTGTGTGACTTTTGACTGCGAGTACCACCTCCCTCCATCACTCATCTGTCAGTTTGCCACATTGTGGTGGCCTGTGTGTTGCTGTGATGCTGGAAGCTATGCCATGGGTATTTTTATTACTAATATTATTACTGTGAATGATGTGATAGTCGACATGGGAGAACACCAGTCCCACATTCATCCTATACTACTTCGCTTCACTGCAATGATTACAATTCCCCAAATACATCACCAACCAACTAAAGGGTACACACCCTGCAAGCCTGCCCCCTGGCCATCAACACACAGACCCTCTCCCTCCCAGAGTCCAGAGTCCCCAGCTGTTCCATCTCTCCATGTCATCCTCTCAGCCTCCATCTCTGGCATCGCTGCTTCTCTGGACAAGGTCCCGCACTCTGCTCCTCTCCCTTGATGGTCCCAGGGACCTCGGCTCCTGAACTGCAAATCAACTACTCACCTCCTTTTGTTACAAAATGTCTACCTTTACATTTCCAACCCTTACAGTAGCAATCATTCACTATTGAACCACAAGAGTTTTATTCTCATCTCCTTTCATCAGTCTCATCCAGACAGGTTGGAAACCTCTCAGTGGAGATTCTACCTTCCCACGCAACCTCTGGAACTAGATTCCCTCTTGAAAGCTTGTAAGCCAATCACTTCTTGCCTTTTGTAGTCCCTCCATTTTTTTTTTTT